TACTAGTTTAAGAAAAACTAAAAAAAAAAGATGGAAAAAATGACAAATTCGAGTGGAGAGAGGTTGAACTCTACAAACAGAATCGTGTAAGCGGGGTGTGGGTCAGAGGTCAAAAAGCCCTGAACTCTTTCTCTCCCTTTAGACGGAAGACATCAGAGGTTCCTCTGTGTGCTGCTCTCCATTTATTTTACTCATCATCCCTCATCAGGCTGGGATGACCCCGTGACCCCAGAGCTAGGGTTACTTGTCAGTTGACTGTCTATTTTCTGAGTCAATATTTGTTCTGTGAAAAAAAAAAAAAAAAAAAAAGGATTAGATGCAGAATTGTAATAAAGTTGTGCAGATACAATCAGATCAAATTCATGCTCAGTTAAAGAATCTATTATTTAGTTGTTTATTTTTTTGAGCAGCTTCGCTTCAGGGCTGGTGCATTCTCTCCACAGATGACAAGCATGCGTGATAATTCCTGTTTACTCAAAGACAAAAGATCCCAAGGAGCACAGTAAACAGATGCCTGTGCGGATGCTTAGAGAGAGGTACCTAAAAAAAAAAAAAACACTTTCAAAGCCTCCCAGTTTGTTCTGTCAGCTATCAATCAGGGCGCCGTAAGTGGGATCCTTGAGAGGAGATGCTATCAGCTTCGCCTCATATACACTCACACCACAGTTTCCCTTATCTCTGTGGAGATAACAGATTGCCCCCCCTCCCTCAAACAGCAAGCAGCCTGTACCACTTTCCTTCTACATCTCATTCTGGGCCTCAGCTGGGCCCTGAGACACTTCATTTCGGGGGCACTAAGAAAAAGTAAAGCAAAACAAAAACAGTCAATTTGCTCCAGGTTCCTGTGTAAAATTCAATAAGCGTGTCTCTTATTGCATCCGCGTGGTGCTAGCCGAGGCCACAAAGGGCACGTGTTGCCTCTGATTCCAATCTCTGATGCTATCGGCCCCCAGAAGAAACACGAGACGCAGCACAGTTGACAAATCTAGATGGGCGTGAAATTCAACAAAAATCAGAGGCATGGAGCCATGTCAGTTTCCTTCCACTTTACATACTTTTTAATCATTTTTTTTTAGTAAACAACTCATTTTCATGATGTGTTTTTCGCTCATAACAAGTGTGAATGAACAGTTATGGGTTGTGTGATTAAGAAAAGTCATTTAAAGGCGCAGGCCGTTGTTTGTTAGTTATTTTCTTGGGTTTATTTGATGACAGAAGGTTGTGGCGATGGTTCAGCACCAGCCTTGTTTTTTAGGCTTCCACCAGACCACAGCACATTGAGCCTAATAATAAAAACAAGCATCCTGGTGTGGAGCTGGTCCCACAGTGTGAGGACCTTAATGAGGAACATGTGGAGCTGCCCAGACACACTGTCAGAGGAAACCCAATCCCTCGTTCCCTCTTTTTCTCCCTCTTTTCTCCTTCCTTCCCCCTTATTCTATTCTCTCCTCCTCACTCCCCCTTCACTTTGCTCTACATTCTTTAAGATTTGTTGTTTTTTGAACAATGCATTTGTTTTTTTTTGTTTTTTAACTTAAAACATCTCCAATATTTACCCAAGAATTAGGTTCTCCCCATTTTTCTGAAGATTTTTCGAATTCCTTTTCCTCTTTTGTATTAAAACAAGTTCCCAACAGTTAGCGAGTCGCTCGCCTTTGCTTTTTATCCGATGCACATTCATGCCGTTCGCTCGCCGCTTCATTCCTTCCTACTCGTTTTTAAGCCTTAATAGCCTATACATATGTGCAGGGCCATGCAATGCAATACACTCGTAAGGAAAGACACAAAGAAAGAGCTCTTTCTCCACACATCAAGCCTGACAAGCAGTCTCAGAGTTTCTTTCATGTGCTGAATTCATCCCTACCATCCACCTGGATCAATTCACTGTTTGCCTCAGTGACTACAGGCGCTGCGGGTCATTCAGCAAACAGCTTACCGAGTACAAGGGCTTTGATTTTGTTGGCTTTTGTTTTTATGTGACACCATTTTTTTTATATAATTTTTACTCGTTTTAACAGATAATGTGAACCTGTTACTACGTTAGGTAAACAATGTGCTTTGTTTCCCAGGAAATGACATATCTTGCTTTTGAAGACACACGTTGCATCAGGTGAGGACATTTGCTTGAAGTTGTTGCCAGATAAGTCAATCAATCACAAAAATAATTAAAAAAATAAAATAAAAATTAAAAAAATAATAGAGGAAAAATGGACAAGCTGTTGAGCAGATTAAAAATATGACTATAACACACCTCCCCATAAGCAAGCCTCCAAAATTAGCTGAGCAAACAGAGTAAGGTTGATCCCTCTGGGGCGATAAACTCACCACAGTAGACCCAGTGTGACGGAGGACTCCAAGAAGGATCCAAACGTTCCACTCAGGCTGAGCCATTTTCATCCGTCTCATATCAACAAAGCATACAGCATTGTATGGTTTGGAGACATGCATAGCTGTGTTCAGTTTTTTTTTTTGATTAATTCTGCATGTGTGTACATATCAACCCCCACACAAACAGGGTCCAGTGAAGACCTTTCACAAGAATGACAGGCCACCTGAATCACACAATTGTTCGGCTGGAGGAGCCTGCAGAAAAACCAGTGATCCAGTAACTGTCTGGGTTCACTTCTCTCTCATAAAATCAGGAGGAAAGGGCAGAGGGAGACCCATAGCTATAACTCAAAAAGTTCCAGTTGCACCCAAACAAATCCTTAACATTAAATCTAATCACAGAACCAAGCTATTTTCTTAATATCAGCATTTTAGGCAGTAATTGCCCCGCGCATTAAAATTCTTCACTTGCATGGCACAAATAAAAGCCCCACGATGTGTCTCAGGCAAATGGCAGAAATCTGGTGAGTCGGTGTTGCCTTGCAGATGGTCCGGCCTCAGCAGCTGTGTAAATGAAAGGCAGAGTGCTGTTGAAGGAGTGAGAGGGATGGAAAGTTGGCTACAAAGGGGGGAAAAAAGTAACGCACAAGCTGCTAACCAAAAATGTAATGGAACATTTTATGGTGCGAGGGAATATCATAGGGTGGAGAACTTTTTTTGTTGGTGTTATTTGAGAAGAGATAAATGCAAACAATGGCCGTGTCTAGCCCCTCGTATGAGACACATCACAAGTCAAACTATTTTTAAACTGCTTGCATTTCAACTCAAATAGCCATGCTTGGCATTTTGCACCCACAATTGTCAGTCAAGCCCAATTATTTTAGCACTAAGTCCTGTGTGTGAAAACAACAGGTGACAAAGTCCTGCTTGATGCTGAAAACTGGCATTTGTTCTTGAGGGGGGAGGGGAAGTCAAAATGGGATGTTTGGGCTGGAATAAGTTTTAAATTTGTATGTGAATACAGTACAGTAGTCCTTCGATTATCGAGGGGGTTATGTTCCAAACACCACCGCGACAGGAGAAAAACTGCTAGGAACGCTATATTTACTTTAGTATTTATATTATAAATATATTAAGGTTTTATACAACCTTCCCACACTCTTGCAGTGTTCTTAACAACGTTCTAAACTCTTCAACCTACGTAATATTAACAACATACGTATATGTACTCTACAGTACTGCAAAATTTTATATACTCACCAGTGAAGATACTAGAACTTGAAGGATGAGTTCAGCTTCAGGATTATTTGCAACTTTCCTGCCACCTCTTTGAGCTCAATAGATAGATTGTGACTTCTGACTTTGCGTTGCAAAACTGTTTTTTACCACCCATTATTTTTCTCCGCTCGTGTTTGTTACCTCCATTGAGGTTTTTTGAATTTCGGCAAAGCAGCGGTTGGAAGCACTGTTGGCTTCTGGGACATGTAGTTCTTTTGACTTGCATTACAGGAAAAAAAACAACTAAAATAGCGGTGCATGTCTAAAGTACATTTGGTTCGGTTTCTCCGTTACTGTTTGCTACATCCACTGCTGTTCTTGGAATTTCGGCAGAAAGCAGCGGCCGGAAGCACTGTTGGCTTCTGGGTCATGTAATTCTTTTGACTTGCATTACAGAATAGGCTTAGTGAAAGAAAACTACAGAATGGCAGCGCATGTCTGAAGTACATTTGGTTTGGTTCGGTTCACCTGTCCAAAGTACATTGGTTTGGTTTCTCCGTTAGTGTTTGCTACCTCCATTGCTGTTCTTTGAATTTTGGCAGAAAGCAGCGTCCGGAAGCACTGTTGGCTTCTGGGCTGTGTAGTTCTTTTGACTTGCGTTACAGTGTAGGCTTATTGAATGAAAACTAAATTGGCGGCGCCTGTCCGAATTTTTTGTTCTATTTTTGTTTTTCACGTGCGTAATATTAGTTGACAATCGTGTGCCGTGTACAATCTTACGTTGAAAACCCAAGAAAGCCGAGCACGTGAATGTCGAGCCGCGAAGCATCGAGGGACTCCTGTACTGTTGATGGCACTGCAATATGGTCAAAGGCACCAACTGTATTACATACAAAATCAAGTTCAAGTAGGTTTTATTATCATTCGCACCACACGTGGTACACGAGGTGGAACAAAACTGTGTACACAGGGTCCCAGTTACATCCAACAATAGAAAAATATAAATTGTTAAAAGAAACCGTATTAAGGATCTACGATATAAACTAAGAAATACGTTAAACACTAATAGTGCAAAACAATACGCCGGAACAATAGCAGCACGAACATGAGTCTGTGTGAGCAGATGAACACAGCAGCATGAAATAATCAGCAGCATGAGATCAGCAGCATGAATAAGCAGCACTTATCACCAATCAAAGTGGCGTTACAGTGATTTTTTATTTATTTTTTTCTGACGCTGAGTATTTCTAAGCTTTATCCTTAAAACACTGTGATTCCTGGTTTGGTTCAGGGGGATTATAATTTCACAATGCTCTCTGTTCTCCACTGTTTTCATCTCCAGTAATTACATGTAAAACTCAAGTTTGGGGAGAATAGTTAGTGTTTCATTGGCCGGCCGGCACCTCGGGGGCCCGGCTCCGCTCTTAGACCCCGCCCTCCTGAAGACAGGGGCCCCTTTTTGAATGACAGCCCTTTGCTTGGCGAAGGAAGACGAAGTTTGGTGTGATTTCCCCCCGCAGCGTCCAAGAGAAGCAGTCGAGGGTCTCCATTCTAACTGGATGGATTGGTATGGGGAGAAGCGGACCCCAGATCACGGCTAAGCGGCAGCTTCGGGACTGTTTGTCGTGGACGATGGTTTTCCTGTCTCTGCTGCTCCGAGCAGGTAAGTGGCTCCTTCTTCTGCTGCACGACGCTGCGACCCGCACTCCCGGGAATGGACGTGGAGATTGGAAACTTTTTTTTCTGTTGTTGTGCGGTTCAACTTTTTTTTTTTTTTTTTAGTCTCCCGTTTTGGTACTTTTGTTAGTAGTGCTTACTAATATTTTCTCGTTTTAGCCTCGTTTAAAGGGGTGAAGTTGAAAAGTCCGCTCCGACAGGATCGCTGCTAGCCAAACAGCACGAGTTAACACACTTTACCGACCTCAGTGTAAACATCTCCTGCTTTTATTTATTTTTTTTATTTATTTTTCCACCACTACACAACATGTCACCACGTACTCATCAATTACCACGCTCTGACCAGCTACTCCCATGAGGGCAAGTCGTATTTCTCTTTCTGAAAGCGTTTTAATTTCGGAGTTAGCTTCTAGTTAGCATTAGCTCCGCTAGCAACAGGCGTCCTGCTCCCGCAGACGAGCCGGAGCGAAAAGTTTTTGCTTTGTTTTAAACCACGACAGTACAGCTGTTTGGGCGAGTATGACACATATAAGCAAGTTACAAGTTCCCCAACAAGGTCCTGCTCTTTTATTTTGGCTGCAGCTAAAATCCCTCCACATTGTTTCAGTATTCTTGTCATTTATTACCTGTTAGCCGTCACGCATCAGGGCTCAACTTTCTGGCCTGGGGTCGTAAATATCTCTACCTAACTCCAAGCTTGTGCTTTGTTTAGAACGATAAATGTCTTATATTGCATGCAACATAGTTTTCATAGTTTTGTCTGAGAAGTGAGTCAAAACAGGCATTTTGAAAAGAGATCTGGGATGCATACGTTTATTTGGATGAAGCTGGAGGAAAAGCTAAAGTAACTTGTGTCAGTGCTGATTTGTGAGTATCTGCTATTCATTCATTTATATTGGTTCATACCTGGATTATTGAGCATGCATCAATTATATATTGGTTTATAAGACACTGATCATTTTACATGGGGTGTAAATTGTAAGGTTTCTTCTTGATTTGGCCATTTGTAAAATAAGTTGCAGCTGACTCTTAAGTGTTAATGTGAGAAGATGGATGGGATAATGTAGCTTTACAGGTGGAAGATAAAGAGTGCACTTCTTTGTAACCTGTTCCTGATGTGTCTGTTTTTATCTTAAAACGAGATCAAGTGTTGAACTGGTGTTCTTAGCCCTGCTTTGTTGTCACTCTTGACTTCATTTGTTGCACACAAACGCTGACAAAAAGTAACAGTGTTGCACATGAATTGGGGTCTCTTGAGAAGCTTAAGATCAGGCGATTACATCACAGCTCTGCTGGATGTTTATATGATAAGAAAAGTTGATGAAACGGTAGAAACATCAGCTGCAGAGTCAAGGTTTTTAAAGATCTGTGGTCTTATCGACTTGACTTGATTTCCTTTTTGTGTTTATAAGCATTCGAGTGCTGATTGTTAGAGCAAAAAGAAACTGACATGAGTGTTTATTTCAACTTACTGTGTTAAATATCCTGATGCGTGCTCAATAATCCAGGTAGAAAAAGCCAAAAAAAGTTTAGGTCCTCTGGATCTACTGGACTTACTGTATTAAAATTGCTTTTACGTAATTGAAAGGTGACATATTAACCCCCACTCTTTGATCCAAATAACTAAAACTGTCTGGTTTTAGCTAACTCAGATCTACTAATGCAAATATGAGGTGATTTTGTGCTACTCTTGCTGTTCTTTCACACTTGTTAGTAGTAGGTCTTTAAAAGTGTTGGAGCATAAAGACCCTTCAGGGAGATGCACATTTGTTGATGGCAGTGATTGTCAGAAAGTGTCAGTCGTGGGCGGACTCGAGTGACCCCACAACAAGGCTGGGATTCAGGTCTAATTTGACCTCTGATGCATTCGAGCTTGTTTTTAAGTGCCCTGGCTGTGAGATTCATTAATCATCTTCGCTGCCCTGTCAGTGCGACAGACGTGTGAATGAGGAAAAAAGAAACCCCAACAACTGTGCAATACTGTTTATGTGCACCGGTGTGAAATCTCCGTGTTTATTTAGTTTTCACTGTCTGAGCTGTTGGGAGGATTAGACGATGCTGTGCAGTAAACAGCAGATTCTTTTATTGCGCTGTTTGGAGAGCACTCTGTTGCACTTTCTCCCAGGTTTACTGTAAAAAGTGTTGTAGATTCTGGTAGAGTCTTAGTCGGTACTTCCACCTTACAGGCACAGTTATGCCAGTTATTACAGACATCTCTTCAACGTATCAACGCAATATTTAGCTTCTTTGTGATTTTTAGGAACACATAATCCACCTGTGGGCCATTACGTAAAGTGAAGCACGTGATTTAAGTTGCACCACTCCTTGCTGCCTGCTCCATGTTTGGACTTCAAGTTGTTGTGTTGTGATATTCTTATTATCATCTTTACTACCATCAAACTAACATCGGCTAGTTTCCCTCAGCAGTGAACTTTTGTGTTTTGATGGCTCTCCTGATTCAACTAAACTTGACAGTGCAATCGTTTTGTCTCCTGTCTCAGGCAGTAGTAGATGAAAAGTAACTTAAAACACTTTTAGCAGATATTTGTAATGACATCACTGACGGTTGTTTCTGTTTTGTTGTTTTTCCCAGCTCACTGCCAGCAGTGTCGGATCCAGCGCTGTAATGCAGAGTATGTGGCGTCGACCTCACCAGCCAATGGTCTACAGGAGGACGCAGCTCTGGACGTGGACTACTGCACTGCCCTACGGGCCTATAACCTGTGCACACGGAGACAAGCCCGCAGCTGCAGGGGGAACCTAGTTTACCACTCGGCAGTCTTTCGCATTAAGGAGTTATTCTCGCAGCACAACTGCTCCAGCGACGGACCCACTTCCTCGGCCAAGGCCTCCAGTACATCCCGACCAGCGGTGCCAGAGCTTTGCAACTATGAGAGTCGGGTCCTCGTGTCGAGCTCGGCTGGTCAGCAGAAGAAGTACGCCCACTGTGGATTATTTGGTGACCCACACCTACGGACGTTTCGAGATGAGTTTCAGACCTGCAAGGTGGAAGGGGCGTGGCCTCTGATTGATAACCGCTTCCTGTCAGTGCAGGTGACCAATGTCCCTGTTGTCTTAGGGTCTAGCGCAACGGCAACCAGCAAGGTAAGGCTCAGTCTGGAGTGGAATTAACTGTCTGGTTTCTGACCCTTTAAAAACATTTGACCTCAATGCACAGATTAAATACATCTGTTCATTTTAATTTAATAAGAAACAGTCAAATATACAAGCAGACTTGAATAAAATAATCACTTGTCATATGTGTTCATTTATTGCACAATAAGCAGAAATCTGCTTCAGCTGTAAACCCAAATGAACAGAAACAGCCACTCACTTGTCGGTGTGTTTGAAACAAGTGACCTACACAAATACACAACTTTTGAATGCTAGCTCTCTAGCTCAAACACTGCCATTAATGCCGTAAAGAGTCAAACGTGTGAAGTTAATCGTGATTCCATGGTGCCTCTCTGGTCTCCAGCATTCCATGTGTCTTGCAGCTCCTTCAGATCTGTGAGGAGGGTGGGGGTGGGGGGGGTCTCCTTCACTGGTGTTGAATCACAGACATGCATGAGTGCTCTACCTTTAACACATGGGTGGTCATATGGTAGTGATTAACGTTCGCTCAAACATTTTCCCCCACCGCCACGATCTGGAATGTTTTTTCACCCCTCTGGTCAAATAATTAACTTGGTGCTTTTTGTGTAAATATGGAATCATTTGGAAAAATAAAGAAATAATTGGCCAGCAGTGAAGGCTCGTTTGATTTTGTTAATAAATACGTTTCAGGCAAGTATTTTTGAGTAATTTAAATTAGTCTAACTATGAATTCATCTAACTTCTTTCTTTTTCTTTCCCAAACATGCTGATTTAAATTCTGCTCACATAAAACCACTCGTGTTTAACTTCAAGCCTGAAGTCAACCTAAGCTTTTTGAGTTTTTTTAATTTTTATTGCTAGACCCAACATGGGGATTCTGCGAAACACAGTATTCCTCATAAGTATAAAATGTAACCAAAGCTACCATTCTGTCAAGATATTTGAAAGACAGAGGAGTTACCCTAAACTCAAAAGGTTTTGCTGAAAAAGAAGTTGCAGGCATCTAAAGAGCATCTGGCAGCACAGTCAGCAGACTGCATATTTTTATTAGTTTTAAAAGTCAAGAAAGGAGAACAGATTATAGCTTTCATTTAACAATAAATCAAAGTAAGCAACACTTCTTTATTGTTTAAAGAAAAAGTAAAGGTGATGCAGCAACACAGCTGTCCCAACGTGGGAGTTTTTAGTTTTCTGCTGCCACCTTGTGGCTTTTTGATGTATTACATGTTCACAAACACTTTTATTGTTTCATGTGTTAAATTTGATGTTTTTTCTTCTTTTTGTTTTAGATTACAGTTATCTTCAAGTCGTATCATGGTTGTACAGAGCAAAAGGTTTACCAGGCCACCACTGAAGATCTGCCACTGGCCTTTCAGGACGGGACTCGGAGTGGCGGCGATAGCGGCAGCCTGACCATCACAGAGCGAGGCGGCTCCGGCGTGGGTCGCCACGTGAAGATACAGGCCCGTTACATTGGCACCTCCATCATCATTAGACGCGTAGGCAGCTACCTGACCTTCGCTATCCGCATGCCGGAAGACACTCTGGACTTTTCTGAGGACAACAGCGGCCTGCAGCTGTGCCTGCACGGCTGCCCACGCAATGAGCTCATCAAAGAGCACACGCTGAGCCGTCAGAGCCCGCAGCCACACCTGCAAGGCACAAACACTGACCTAGGACTTCTGCGGCCTCCCCACCAGATATACACGGTGGAGAGGGCTACAGCGAAGTGTCGAGAGACTCTGCAGGTGGAAGACGTTTACTTTCAGTCTTGTGTGTTTGACTTGTTGACTACGGGAGATCCGGAGTTTTCTATGGCAGCCTATGGAGCTCTGGAGGACTTAAAGGCGCTGCCGCCCAGTAAACTGAAACAGAACTCTCCAAGGACTCCTCGGGTTTTTAATCGAAGTGCATCACAGACGCTGGCTACAACAGGAGCCCACAGCTCCCTGCTCTCACTGCTCCTTTTCATTCTGCTGCTGTTGTAAAAAAGATAAATAAGTAATAGGACATGGACATGAGTCGTGGAAGCATTATCAGCTTGACAAAAGAGTGACTAGAGCACCAACATTTTATAGTCGTAGTTTTATTTTTTCATGGTTGAGATGTGGGGGGAGATGATTCGAGGACATTTTTTCATTTGAAGGATTTTGGTTTAAAAAGATAGAGAAGATATTTGCCTGCATTGATTTTATTTGATTGTATTTTTTGTTTGATTCGTGCATGCATTTCTTAATTTAAAGAAAGAAAGAAAAAAAAGTTTGAAATTCATGTTAGGGATCCAGAACAAAGTGATTTTACGTGGAGACTATTGCTCGGTTTATCAAAGTTTTTAACGAGAATCGTTAACGGCCCCGATTTGTCTGAGCTATCCTTTTTATTTTATTTAAAATGTGCAAAATTACTAAACACTCCACAGTTAATTAAGCTGAATATCATGTCACACAGTTTTGCACTACTTAAGCTTTATTTAAGCTTACGTAGTAGTAAGACTGCGTACGTATTAGTTGTGTAATAAATAAACCTTCCAAGTTTTGTCTCAGTAGCACTTAACAGTTTTAGCAGCATGCGTTGTGTTTGTGTATATACCAAACTTATGTGTCATTTCAGAAATTGGCATACTGAATACACAGGATCCAACAACTGTTTGTAAAAACTACCTATGCCTTATGAGTAATGTGTCATGAGTTCTCGTTGTTTAGTATGTAAAACTCTCTTCAAGCTGTTTGGCTTCCACTTTTAAACATAAAAGTAAAACTTGGATATAATAATATATTGAAAGAGTGTATATATGTGTTTATTATTGTGTAAATTTGCCGGTGTATAGATGTTTTAACTGTAACATGTTCTGCATTCTGTTTTGTTTAGTAGGTTATTTTGAGTTGTATGAAAAGTCAACTAATATGTGTTGTGTTGTACCTTTAATTTGTTTTGTATTAAAGTGGTGGACACTCCATATTGTGGTTCTGACTGTTTCTTTGTGACTGAATATTTTTGACAATCCACCTTCACCATCATAAGGGATGGCAAATATTTATGCAGAAGGGATTCTGTCAAGACCCTGTGATGGACTTGCGACCTGTCCAGGGTGTACCCCGACCCTCGCACAGTGACTGCTGGACATGGTCACAGGTGAACCCTGTGACCCAAAATGGAAGAAGCAGGTAAAAGATAATGGATGGAAGTGCGCAACAAGAAAGTTCCCAGTACTTTGTGTTGGGATTCGCTCTCAGCTACCACTATACCAATATACAGCTCAATATGGCAAAAATAAAATCAATGACTTATAGTTTTTTTTTTCTTTTAAGCTTTGGTGGCCATCTTGGAATTTTGATTTGTATTCAGTATGTGATGGGGAACCTTCTCAGCTATAACCACACCAAATTTCAGCTCTGTGTAAAAATAGCTGCGTTAAAGCCATTTAAATGTAGCTTTGGCGGCAATCTTGAATTTTTAATTTGAATTCAGTATTTATGGGGCATTGCTCTCAGCTGCCACCACATCAAATTTTAGCTTGCCATCTCTAAAAATGGCTGATTTGTAGTTTATTTCAATGAGGAAAAATGGCATCCGTTTGCAAATTACATCGTCATGGTAACGTGAAACGCCAATAAAAGTAATAGCACGCATCACGGTGCTGAGCCGGTCGTTTTGATATAACATCTGTGGGCGTACACATTGCATTTCAGGATGCATTAAAGTTGCAGGACGAGTAAGACCCTTTTCAGGTGGATAATAATAGGGATCTGTCTATAGGCAGTCCCCAAAAAATACAATTTAAATGAAAAAAGATTAAATTTTCAGTGAGCTCATTGAACCTTGCAGTGTTGCTCCCAATTTTGGCATTGCCTGGACTGTTGATGAAACTATACCATTAGCTTATTAATTTTTTTCCACATAATTAATTATAAAAAAAGACATGTTTGCAGGTGAAACTGCTCATCAGATCATCTGTAAATTGGGAGATTGTTAATCAGCAGCATTTAAAAAAAAAAACCATGTTCTTGCAATGCCTCTTGCGTCCTGCTGGTGTCCTCGGCCTATCAGGCTTTGACAGCCAGGAGTATGAAGACAGCTTTGACAAGCTGGCTGTGTAGCTGTAGGGTTCCACAGTATGTTCTCAGTCCCCTGTGCAAATGTTACTTTTGAGTGCTGAGCTGGCTGCTGGCTTTGCTTTTGTCTGCCAGAGCGCTGCATGGCTCCAAATAGGATTTGGTCGGCGGTCAACACCAGGTTGGAGTCAACATCAGCATACACCGACGAGGTTTGAGCTCTATGAATGAGTGAGTGCTAAGACTGGAGAGAGAGCGAGAGAGAGGGAGAGAGAGAGAGGGAGGGAGGGAGGGCTGTGATCAGTTTTAATTTCCATTAAAAATGCAATTAAGAAAGCCTGCACACACTCCCTATAAAGACATTAAGAATTAATGCACCATAACCAGCAGACGTGGATATGATTTATATCTTGGATAGAGTTAAAGGTAACCTGATTCTGACCATTCTCTTGATTGACAACATGTTTCATCACACATGTGCTTTATGGTCCCAGTCAAAGGCAACGTGATGAAGAGCTGCTGGATGTGGGGAGACGACAGATGAAAGGTGCCATTTTTTACTCTTTCACACGTGAAGCACATTCCAGATGGCCTATATATGGTCTCTCTCTCTCCTGGGTGACTCCATCACTTCATGAGATGGAAGTAGGATGAAGATTGAAAGGGACTGAGGTCAAGGAAGACGGGAAACTGTCACAGTTCTTGTCTTGGGGATCCACGGGTGAAATTAAGTACTTTTACTCTATGGTGTAATTAGATACGAGGCTAATATTTTTAAACTCTTTCCACACCTTGCTACTTTTTCTCCTCAGCATTTTACAGAAAAGTTATGTATTCATTTGTGCTTCATATTTGACTTTGTTTTGTTGCTTACTTGAGATCAGGATTTGGAACAATATAATTTTACGAAGGCTTGTGATGAATTTGATTGTCATTTTTGTTTTTTTTGGGTCAGTTTTGAACTTATTAGTCTGATAAATTCACTTGGTGGTGCTATATTTTTCCATGCAAAATGCCTAAAACTCAAAAACCATTTAGTTGATTTTTTTTTTCAAAAGACAGAAATTATTATTATTATTAATGCTTCTAACCAGTAGGTTCCTCATCAAAATTATGGACAATCATCCAAATAATTGTTCATTTTCTTAATTTCCATTTTTTATTCGAGCCTTTGATGCCAGCCCAATCACTGCAGTACAACTACAGAACAAAATGCTATAAATACTTTATATTCACAATAAACTAAAACTGCAAAATACTTCTTAAAAACTAATTGAAAGTAAAAAGCAGTGACATTGGTGCATCCCTGATTGATCTACCTGGAATATTGAGCATGCATCACACTAAGTGGAAAAAGTTGTGACGTTTGTCTGTTAAAGCTGTAGAAGAGAGAACCAAGAACAAACGAAATGCCAGTGGGTCATTAGAGGTCATCATCATCTGCATATTTACTCCCAAATATAACATTTGGAATTCAGATATGGAAGTTTGAGAGTTTTGATGCGTTCTCGAAAGAAATCCACAAACATCTAACAGCAGCACTGGATGAAAAAAGACATTTTTTACGTTTGTTTCCAAACCTTTTAGAAAAATTAACCAGCTCCGAAATGAAGTGTGACATTATCATGATTATTAAGTTGAACATTTCAGTGTCAAATTTCCATAAATAATAATAATAATAATAATAATGTCATCACAATGTCAGCACTGTATGTTTCCATACAATGGCGAAATTAGTCTCTGCATTTAACCCATCCACCACCAGGTGGTGCAGTGGGCAGCTATTGAAAGCACCCGGGGGGGCATTTTGGGGGTGAGGCGTGCTGCCCAGAGACGCCACGTGATGTGCAGTGACTGGGGATCGAACCTGGGACTTTCGGGTCCCAAGCCGGCTGCCCTGCCTCTAAAAAGCCAAACTGTGAATTGTGTAAAATCTTGCAAAAGATAATAAAACGTCATTTTCAGTCAAATAAACTTTCACTTTCTGTGACCTGTTCGAACTTAAAATTATAATTCTGTGCTCTTAGACAAATGGGTTTTCACTCATCGCAACGTCATGTTGCTCAAGTGGTGATTTTTTTTTAATTTTATTTCAAATTTGACGCAAGTTTTCATGGTACAAATAGTAAAAAATATATTTTGATAGCAGTATTATGTACTCGGGCAGCACGGTGGCGCAACTGGTAGAGCTGCTGCCTCTCAGTGAGCAGGTTACACTGGTTCAAATCCTGGTCCAGGGTCCTTTCTGGGTGGAGTTTACATGTTCTCTCCGTGCATGTGTGGGTTTTAGCCAGGTACTCCAGTTTCCTCCCACAGACCAAAAACATGCATGTTAGGCTGATTGGTAACTCTAACTTCTCCCTAGGTGTGAGTGAGAGAGTGAATGGTTGTTTGTCCCTGTGATGGACTGGAGACGTGTCCAGGGTGTCCCCCGCCTCTCACACAGTGATGGGTGGACATGGGCGCCAGCGAACCCCGTGACTCGAAAAGGAAGAAGCAGGTAAGGATGAAGGATGGATGGATATTATGTACTAAAAGTCATAGGTCACCTTTCCTAATCAAACAGTTTCATGCTTTTATCCAAAACTGTGGAAAGAATAACAAATCAAGTATTATGACAGAAACAGACGAATGACCGACTAGTGTTCATTGTGTTTTAATGCTGTTGCATTGGCACGCTTAATTAACACAGATGCAGCATTTTATTTAGAGACTTTTGGCTTTGTTGGAAAAAAAGACAAACAGGCAACTTTATCCTTAAAGTTTCTTGTATGCTCTGCCATAGAAAGGAATTTAAATGTATGCACTAGTTCCTGTAACGGGCAGCGCTGTGGCTCAGTTGGTACTAGAGCTGTTGCTTCTTTCCATTCAACCTTTTTTTATACAAGTTAGCCTCATTGAGTCACAAGGACTCTTTTACAAGAGAGACCTGTTGGCGAGAAGGTTGCCGGATCGAATCCCGGCCCGGGACCTTTCTGGGTGGAGTTTGCATGTTCTCTCTGTGCATGCGTGGGTTTTTTCCGGGTACTCCGGTTTCCTCCCACAGACCAAAAACATGCATGTTAGACTGATTGGTAATTCTAAATTGTTCCTAGGTGTGAGTGAGAGAGTGAATGGTTGTTTGTCTTATTTGTCTTTGTATGTCCCCTATGATGGACTGGAGACCTGTCCAAGGTGTCCCCCGCTTCTCACACAGTGATGGCTGGACACGAGAACCAGTGACCCCCGCGACCCGAAAACAAAGAAGCAGGGAAGATAATGGATGGATGGATGGATAGATTTCTTGTAACCAATTTTGTTGTTGTCTGGGGATTTTTCAGCACTAACCCTCCTCCACCTGACAGACTAATCTAAGTTGCATCAATTTCTCTCAGAGTTTTTAAATTCAGCTTCTCAACAGCTTAACTGCAATGATGACAGTTAAGCACTTTTATTACCACCTCATTGGCTTTATCACGTTAAACAAAATTATAAATCTTCAAGCTCCCGCTCATGATTCATCTCATCTGTTGAGATGCAGCCGTCTGACAAAGCTGGCACAATGAACTCTTCACGAAGAGCTCCGCCAGTCTGATGAAAGGTGGTGAGCTGTCTGAAAACTTGGGAACACGTCACATATAGGACCGTAGCTCGTTCTGAATGTGAATGTGCATTTAAAAACTGAAAACTTATAGGAGTCAAGTCTGACAAGCCTTAAAAAGGGAATCCAATGGACGTAGTTAAAGTTACTGAAGCCTTTAAAGATTGTTCGCCCACCTTCTTTGAGGCGTCCTGTCTTGACTTTCCCTGTAAACAAGGACAATTACCAAGCTAATGAGTTGAGGGGGAAAAAGT